TGTCCATGTGTCCCTGTTGAGTGTCCGCATGTCCCCTGTTGAGTGTCCACATGTCTCTGATGACTGTCCATGTGTCCCTGCTAACTGTCCACATGTCTCTGCTGACTGTCTTCGTGTCTCTGCTGATTGTCCACATGTCCCTGCTGCTTGTCCATATGTCTCTGTTGCTTGTCCATTTGTCCCTGTTTAGTGTCCACATGTCCCTGCTGTCTGTCCACATGTCCCCTCATGCAGGTACCATGTCCAACCGGTGTGGCTGGGACCCAGCTGCAGGATCTGGACCTCAGGTACCGTGGACTCGTCCCGTCCAACCTCCTCACCATCAACGATGTCCACGACTGCACGCTCGCCCGCCGCTGGCTCCGTGCCAACTTCACACAGCAGGACGGTAGGTGTCCCTCCGCTGTCCTTCAGGACGGGACGGTTCAGCAGTAGCTGGCAGCAGGCGACCCGTCCCGTCAGAATTGGATTCTTTCAGAACCTGACTCTTTGCAGAAAACGCCGTGGTCTTTGGAAGCAGCGTGGACGTGTACACCACTGTGCAGACTCTGCTCCGCCTCGGGATCCTTGGAGCTCGAATCCACCTGGTCCTCCCTCCTCCAGAACCGGGTCTACCCTGCTTCCCAGACCCAGCTGTGGCGAACGCCGTGGCTGCAGCCATGAAAAACGCCCAAGTCCACGTCCACCCCAACTGTGTTCTGGCTCGCATCGACACCGGAGAGCGACCCGACCTGATCACATCCGTCTCCTTCAGCAGCGCCTCGACGCCCGTCCATCTGCAGTGTGGAGTAAGTCCTGTTGGTTCTGACCCGGTGCTTCATGGTCAGACTGGACCTGGTTCTGTTGGTCTGACAGGTGTACTGATGAGGACAGAACTGGGCCTCGGGATTTTCAGGTCACGTTGGGCCCAGCAGCACCGCCTGCCTTGCTGTTTGGACCAGTTGCCATGGTTACAGGCAGATCAAGAGAAACTGAATAATAAATGTGATTTAGAGGAAGACGTCTTTAAATGTCTCTTTGTGGGACATTCTTCTGCTTGTCCAGGTGTTCATCAGCCTGTCCAACAAAGGTGTGGACTACGATGTGTTGGACAGCGTCCGCAGCTCCTTCCTGGCCTTCGACTCCAGGCTCATCATTGACGCCTCCTTTCACACCACAGACCCGTTGATCTACGGAGCTGGACCTCTCACCAGGTTCTCCTGCAGGTGCTTCTCAGACAGATGCTCCCACGCAAACGTCAACTCCAAGGAAGTGGGCCAGGACCTGGCGGCCACCATACTGGCCCTGTTTGACCCGACACAGGAGGCCCACAACCAGCCTGAGACGGATCGTCTGGTCCCGCTCTACAATCGGCCCAAGGTTCAAGGTGGGTTTCAGGGTGTGGTTCTGTTCCAGTTCTGTTCCACTCTGTCAGCCTTCTACCCTCAGCTCGTTGTTTTAGCACACAAACGCATCGTCAGCATCACCTGAAAACCTGCACCAGGACAAGATAAACCAGTGACCGAGGGCACTAAGAAGAGGACCAGGGACCGAGCCTAGTGGTCCACCTTTACTCATGATAGGACTGAACCTTCACATCAATGTGAAGACGACGAAGGAGATGATCGTGGACTTCAGCTGGAGCAACAACGCCTGCACCTTTTTACAATTTATATTTTTGCTATTTTTGGATGTAACTGGGACCCTGTGTACACAATTTTGTTCCACCACATGTGATGCAAATGAGAATAAAGAACATTGAACTTCTCACCACCAGGATTTAAACCACTGGAAACTTATTGTGAAAACAGTTCCACAGTTGTTCCATGTGTCCAAAAAGGTTTTAAGATTAAAAAAAAAACTTCACCCGACTCAAAAAATGATTTGATCGGTTCAGTCAAGAAACAGAGCCGTCTCTGAGGAGGGATGAGGACAAGAACCAAAGGTTGAAAGACATGAGTAGAGTTTAGCTGCTTCATTAGTTGATGAGCCTCCACCGTCTCACGCAGGTAAGATGCTTACTGCTCTCTGATCACTACATTCCTTCCTGGTGAGGGACAAACCGATGAGGAGTACGAGGCACCATCAGTTGATTTCTGTAGGTCCAACAGAACTTGTTGGTAACTTGTCTATCTGAGGACACAGCAGATCGTGTTCGTCTCAGTCCCCATCAGTGTTTGTCCATCTGGTCCATCTGTGGGTCTCTGTCCTCTGAACCATCTGTCCAAACTCAGCTCACAGAAGTTGTCTGCTCAGACCTCCTCCACAGCTGAACTGTTTTACGTCCAGTTAGCAAACCCAAAGATCAAAGTCTATCACGATCTGCTGGAAGATGACGAGGAGGCTCGAGGTCAAAAGATCAAAATACTTATTCTCCAAAAACCAAATCAAAAGGCTGACGGGGCAGACACTTACTGGTACTGAGAACAGATCAGGGCAGACAGGACGGGAGGCAGACTAAGACACCACTGAAGGACAATCCGGAGACAAAGACAAGACAAGAGAGCTGAATATACACACACTGATTAGGACAACGACAGACACCTGTTAACATGAGGCACAGGTGAGACAGGGGCTGAACACAAGGAGGGAAAACACAGAGAGCTGAACCAGGAAACAGAGACAGGACAAAAACCCTACAAAATCACTTGGTTCTGAAAGAAGTCCGACCCGTTTCACTTCATCTAAAACAGGAAGAAAGTGAAAAATGTTTTTCTTCTAACATGAAGACTTGTCCTTGTCCTCTGAAGTTCCTTTGGGTTTGTCGGGGTTTCTGAGCCTTCTGAGTTTCTAACCCTAACCCATCTCGGATCTGTTCCTTCAGGTGGACAGCTTCCAGGAGGGTTTACCTACCTGCACGTGACCGGACCACAGGGGACTGACCCGTCAGGTCCTCGTGTTCAGGATGGAGAGATCATGACGGGCCGAGCAGAGACCGGGAACTACTTCTGTTTGCATCTGGACCACCATGACCTGGTGGAGACACTCACATGTCTGTCCCTGAAGCCCCTCCCTGTCTCAAACTACCTGAGTCTGTACGGAAAGCACCAGGAGCTACTGGGTCAGCTGCAGAACCGCTACCACCAGGGTCTGATCCAAGACCTGTACAGGTAGGACCAGAACCCAAACACTTCCAGCAACGCTCATTCATCCAAAACATCTTCTGGGGGTTTCTCAAATGTCTGGGTCTAACAGAACAACCGGACCTGAACAGCTACTACATCTGGATCAAACATGGTTCTGGATCAGCACTGACATGCAGAGTTTTCAGGTGGTTTTAGGTGTTTGGAGTCTGAAACGTGGCGTTCGCTCTGTTTTCGCTCTATAGTTCCTGGTGTACGCACGTTTCTATAGTTCCTGGTGTACGCA